TTAGCTTCGGCAAAGCTAACAGAGAGGGAATAAAATAGGCATGAGTAATCTATGTAGCATGAGATGCAAAAAAAATCTAATTTCTTGGAAGTATAAAAGATAAATACCATATTAAATAAAGATGACTATATGTTTTATTTTTATAATATTAGATGATTATTTTAAATATATCATTGTGAAATATTAAAAATCACTTCTTTAATGGATATATGGTATAAATAAACGTACTTGTTAAAATATTTGAATTTTAAAAGTAAAAAAAATATACTTTCTTGCATTTTAATATAATTTATACACGTCATATATTTTTCAAATATATATATATACATGAAGGGCATATCCTTACCACCTTTCTCTATTTCTTCTCACATTTTTCTTAGATGTGTAGGTGTGAGTGAGAAAATATTGAGAGATAGAGAGAGAAATTTATCGTAAAATAAAGAAATATATATTCTTAGATTATATATATATATATATATATGTTTACCAATATAGAATATAAAATATAAAAAATTTCTCCAATATTCTCTATATAAAATAGATTGACCATAAAATTCTTCCACGACAATATTAAAAAAAAGAAGATAAAATATGGGGAAGAAACATAAGTGAAAATCGTATTTTATTGTGAAAAATGAAACATTTAGAAGTTTCTAAGTTTTGGTGAGAAGAAAAGTGTAGTTTTATTGATTTTGTAATATAATGACTCGGGAAGACAAGATGGTGCAGCCCACAATGGAACCTAATCAGGCAACCAAAACCTTTTTACCTGGCTATTGATATTCTATTTAGAAAGAAGTAAGAGAGTAGAAGGAAGTGAAATTGTAAGATAACACCAGTACCATAATGACAATATTTTCACACCCAAATAAATACGACGGAATAAAATAATATTTTTTTAATTTGTTGTATTTCGATCACTAAAGACCTGAAATGCACTTTCTGTGGATCAGGAATAACAATGGAGAGATGTTGCACTACTTATTTAATTGTGCTGCTCTGTCTGAGGGAAGACGAAAACTAAATGATAAACCGGGGCAACTTTGTCCTTCATTTCCGGTACTAATTAATTAAATATCAAAGAATAGGTATATAGCGGTGGCGATATTTGGATTCCATAGGATTATAACCCGGAAAAAGGCCACACAGTGTTCTCCCCATCCCTTGTGAACTGGCGAATCCTGTATAGGGCGAGAGGCCCTAAATAAAGGCTTTGTTGTTGTTGTATTTCGATCACTTCTTCAAAGTATATAGTGCTCAATATTTGAAAAAATAAGTTCCTGTATTTCCTGACCTTTAAAATATACACCTTCATGTTCTCTCTCTCTCTCATTCTCTCAATCTCTTTCTAACATAATAAATATATAATAGATTATGTTTAAAAATAGAGCAATCCAAATATTAAATTATTTAAAAATGATTATTTTAAATTATAAAGTTTTGTTTTCCAATATTTTGTATGACAACTCGCCAAACTTCTTTGGGGGAACAAGGGCTTATTCTTGTTCCCCGAAGAAGTTTGGCGAGTTGCCATATGAAATATTGGAAAATAATACTTTATGATCCAAAATAAGCATTTCCAAATAATAGATTATATAAAGAGGTTTTTAGAAAATTTTTATAAAAGATGAATATGGATAAAGGTTTCAGGCATTAACATCTTAAACAACACATGTAGATAATAGTATTTTTACTAATACTTGTATCAAAAAATATTAAATTCACCTTAATTGCTTCAACAAAAATGCTGTATAATAGAAAATACACGAATAAAAGAAAATCACAAATACCTAGTTTTCTCGCAATAAATCACACAAATATGATAGAAATTGAAACTGAAACACTAAAGTTAATTTAATAATAGTTACCCAAATGTTTTGTTTGAAACAATAGTTATTCTATTAAGGAACCAACAATATAAATAAAGGAAAGGTTAACACATTCTGAGTGAGCTGGAACATTTCCTAGGTCATTTAGGTAATGTTACGTTGGCCACTAAACAAACCCAGATAGTAATTTATGCTCCTTCCAGATGTTCTTTTATTTATTTAAAGGAACAACAGAGAAGTTTTTCGTTCAAATCCCTGGCGAGAGGTTCTTTAAAACACCAAGATATTCCAATTTAAATTGGACCACCTTCATTTTGTGGAAGAACAAAAATGAATTGTTTCAAGTTGAGGTAGGTTGAGACCATTCTATAATAGCATGTGGCGTCCTCTAGGGGATGGCTGGAAGACAAATTTAATTAAGTTATCTGGGAGAGAAAATGTATCATTAAGTTGAAGGAGAGAAATTTAGATAATCAATGAGAGAGTGGATTTCTCAGATTGATGTTTACTCCAATCTGGTTAGAATTAAATTTGGTAATTTTTAATTGATAGATTATTTTTAAATTGATACGAAATAACATATATGTTTATTTAAATAACAAATAGTATATATTGTATTGTGAATAAAAATATTTATTTGTCAATATTTCGGTTGGCTTAACACTAACCTTTATCAAGGCATAACAACGTATTTATTGTGTGTAAACAAACTCAAGGCCTCATATCATTACTAAACTACGGTTGAAATAGTTTAGTGAAAAATCTTAAAGACGTTTATATGAAATAGGTTATATAAAATAAATACGTTGTTATACCTTGACAAATATTGGCCTTTGCCCAACCGAATATAAATAGTTTTATTCAGCACATTATAAATATATTTATTACCTAAAGTACCCTCGTATGTATTGCTATCTTTTTCGAAAACGTTATATATAATTATTTATTATTTCCATATTTATTGCGCACGTGCGATAAATATTTATAATGGCGCTATATAAAATGTGAAAATTATCATTTCAATATAGATATATTATATAAGAGTGTTATTTCATTTTAAGATTATAATTTCCAAATCAAGCAATCCGTTTAATCGACCCTTAGATTTCGCGGCTTTCCCTATATAAAACTCATTGTTGTTTTTACCGTTGGTCGGCTCAAATCTTTTTGTAGATATGTAAATATGTAATCTTTTGTTTTTCTCATACTTATGCTCTAATTTAGGTAGTACCTTCCTCAAATTATGTATTATATATTTCAAAATCTCAATTAAAGCAAATAATGATCTAAACTATTTTAAATACTTATATATCCTCAATATAATCAGCAAATATTAATTATATATCTCCTAAATATAACTCTAATTCCAAAATTAACAACAGAAAATCATTTTTGTAATATAAACATATATATATAACTTAATATAACTTAATATTATAAGAAGAATGTTTACCCAGAAAACAATCTACACTAGAATTTTCAACAATCATTATTTAATTCTAAAATAATATATCTTTTCGACAAATTGAATATAAAAATAAATGAATACTTAGAATATATGCATGAGTGCGCCAATCTCACATTACCGATTTATAAATCTACCTAAACAAAGATTTCTACTTCTAAATATTGTCTATAGAGTATGTAATCGAGTATATAGGCTGAGATATAAATATGGGGGAATTTATCCACAATGCCAAATGGATGGACCACCGCCATCTACAGGCCTTTTATGGAACCACATCTATTAATCATGGCCAAATGCTTTATCTTGATAAATCAGGAAAAGCTAACTACGAAGCGTCTTGGGCTATTAGTTGCCATAGGACTGATTCCTTATTCGGTCGATTAGAACCATCGAAGAAAAAAAAGAATCCTTTTTGCCATGCCAAAATATCGTCTTCTAAAAAAGGCCTAGCATTTAGCTTTTAGAAGGCTTTTATATGGGTGTTAAATAGATAGCTTTTGCTAATGTATTAGAGGTTTCTATGTATATTATATTTAATGGTTGTTTAGAAAATAATATTTTCTATTTAATTTATCATTAGAGAAAGAGATTGAGATTGAAACTGTTTTATTATAACGTCCATATTAGATTATATAAGGTTAAATACATGAAATAAATAAATAAGATTAATAATGATAGATATTTAAAATACAATATAACGCGGCTGATGATTGTAAAACGAAAATTGAAATTATACCGCGAATGTTTCTTTTATAAAAATCGAAATTTATTTTCAAAGAGAAATAGCGACATTTCTAACTTTGAGGATGAGGTATGGAAAGGTGAAACATGAAGAGCAATGGCGAACGGAAAAATAAAAAGTGTCCAGGGGCGGGAATCGAACCCACACCCTTCTGCTTACCGGGCAGGTGCCTTGTCCACTCGGCTACCCTGGACGTATTTTTCCGTTCGTAACTAATACTTAAAGTAACATTTAAAATACAATATAACGCGGCTGATAATTGTAAAACGAAAATTGAAATTATACCGCGAATGTTTCTTTTATAAAAATCGAAATTTATTTTCAAAGAGAAATAGCGACATTTCTAACTTTGAGGATGAGGTATGGAAAGGTGAAACATGAAGAGCAATGGCGAACGGAAAAATAAAAAGTGTCCAGGGGCGGGAATCGAACCCACACCCTTCTGCTTACCGTGCAGGTGCCTTGTCCACTCGGCTACCCTGGACGTATTTTTCCGTTCGTAACTAATACTTAAAGTAACATTTAAAATACAATATAACGCGGCTGATGATTGTAAAACGTAAAATTGAAATTATACCGCGAATGTTTCTTTTATAAAAATCGAAATTTATTTTCAACGAGAAATAGCGACATTTCTAACTTTGAGGATGAGGTATGGAAAGGTGAAACATGAAGAGCAATGGCGAACGGAAAAATAAAAAGTGTCCAGGGGCGGGAATCGAACCCACACCCTTCTGCTTACCGGGCAGGTGCCTTGTCCACTCGGCTACCCTGGACGTATTTTTCCGTTCGTAACTAATACTTAAAGTAACATTTAAAATACAATATAACGCGGCTGATGATTGTAAAACGAAAATTGAAATTATACCGCGAATGTTTCTTTTATAAAAATCGAAATTTATTTTCAAAGAGAAATAGCGACATTTCTAACTTTGAGGATGAGGTATGGAAAGGTGAAACATGAAGAGCAATGGCGAACGCCTTGTGGACAAGGCACCTGCCCGGTAAGCAGAAGGGTGTGGGTTCGATTCCCGCCCCTGGACACTTTTTATTTTTCCGTTCGCCATTGCTCTTCATGTTTCACCTTTCCATACCTCATCCTCAAAGTTAGAAATGTCGCTATTTCTCTTTGAAAATAAATTTCGATTTTTATAAAAGAAACATTCGCGGTATAATTTCAATTTTCGTTTTACAATTATCAGCCGCGTTATATTGTATTTTAAATGTTACTTTAAGTATTAGTTACGAACGGAAAAATACGTCCAGGGTAGCCGAGTGGACAAGGCACCTGCCCGGTAAGCAGAAGGGTGTGGGTTCGATTCCCGCCCCTGGACACTTTTTATTTTTCCGTTCGCCATTGCTCTTCATGTTTCACCTTTCCATACCTCATCCTCAAAGTTAGAAATGTCGCTATTTCTCTTTGAAAATAAATTTCGATTTTTATAAAAGAAACATTCGCGGTATAATTTCAATTTTCGTTTTACAATGATAGATATGTGAATAAATAGATAAGATATACATATATACATATATATATAGAGAGAGAGAAAGAGAGAGAGAGAGAGAGCAATATTTCGGCAAATATTAGTGTTTTTTAAACAGCATATATAAAATATATATACTAATTGTATTACATACAATTAAGAACATATTTTCAAAAGGTAAATTTACAATATTCGTTAATTTATTTGATATATTTATATTCACAACAAATTTGATTAATTATTTAAATCAATTACCCTTTTTTTAAATATGAGGGGGTCGGTGGAAGGCTGGTTAAACCGTTTGGTTTTCGACCACTACGACCCGGGTTCGATTCCCGCATTGGACACTTGTTTTCTAATTTTATAAAATAAAATGCTCCAATGGCCCCCGATTCTTGCAAAGGTCCAACCACACCAGCGAGTGCAAGTAACCAAACGAGGCTCTGGCACATTTGTAAGTGCAAAGTTGAACTACGCACCATGATTATCATGGCCTGTACCAAGTGTACTAGGGATAATTAAAAAAATAAACCCTTTTTTTATCATATAATCAAATAATCTTTATATCCTTAGGTATTGAACTGGTAAATTCTGTAATAAATATTGATTGAATTCTACAAGTGCTGAAAGTAAGTAATTCCACTTTTGGAATTGCACCAAAACAATTTTCTTGATCATTCAAATTATAGATGAATAATATAACTAAATCATAAATAATTAATTTTTCGGCTTACTTTTATGATATATTTTTATTTTAAGATTAAGATTTAAAGGTGCAATGTGTCGTTTGTTAAAAGAAAATCAGAAGAATAATTATTAACTATCATGTAGGTTTTTTTATGTATTTTAGTTAAAATTTATTCTATATTAGTGACTTTAAAAATAAGGTGAGTTAACTAAACATATTTAGAACAAATATTGATATATGGAATATTCCAAAACTAAAAAAAGATGTAAAATAATCAATGAATAAAAAATAATATACACAGTATATATATATAGTAATATATATATATATTAATAGTAATTTTTTATTTTTGGAAAAAAAAGAGGAAAAGTAAAATATTGAGAACTACAGATTTTGAATTGATTTTGAGTCAGAACAGCAAGCTAATTCTGTATCAAATAGTATAGTTATGAGAATTTTAAGATTTATAATTTTTTATATTTAATTTAAACATGTAAGGTTTGTTTTTTATGTTTTTTTGTAATAAATAATTAGTTAGAATATATTTTAATAAAAAAAGAAAAAAGTAACACCAGCAAAGCATCGGCAGTTACGTGTCATAAGCTGGGTAAAAAAGGAATAAGCGAAGAGAAAGTTTTATAGAGAAGAGCAAAGACAGAACCATGATAATAATTTTCCAAATATAAAATAAAGCTAATTATATATATATATATATATATATATATATATATATATATATATATATACTAGCGGATGTGTACCCGGCTTCGCCCGGGTTTTATCCGAGTGAAAGTTTGCCTAACGAATATTATTGATAATAATATTCTGGAACACACAGAATATTATGATAATAATGATAATTATATTCGTTAAGTCATATATTTATATAATATTTTTAGATTGAGATTATTAGCTAAGTATGTAAAAAAATTAACTCTGTTGAATTTTTTTTTTGTATTTATATATAAATAAAATTAACTCTGTTGATTTGTTTTTGTATTTAATCGATAACACCGAAGTTACGCATGTTAATGTTAGGAAATATATTTTGATGTTAAGCAAAACCTGCTCCATCTCGTTTTACATAAATGTTGAAAATTTGGTTGAAATTGGGGCATTGTAACGAAAGTTTTAAGTGAACAACACTTATGAAATTTGCATTTTATTAATATATATATATATATATATGAAAAAACAATAGAACAATAATTAACGAATTTATCAAGATATTGGGTTGGCCTAATATCAGGGAACAGATTAAATCAATGTTTAGTTGATTTTTATTCCACCAGATGGCGTCTGCCTTCTGAAAAGCACAAGTTCTCCTGGTTAGGATATGCCTTTTTTATTTCTAATATATTTATATATTATTTTAAATCATAAAATATTTTTTATTTTTAGATTATATAATATATATATAAACTAAAATAATCATTTGATTATTTTAAAAATTAAGATATATTTCGATATCAATTTATAACTATTATAAGGATATAATTATTTATGTTCAAATTTTTCTGTATAATGAATTTTATTAATAAAGTCAACCTTTTATATTGGAAAACATAACTATGTTTAGACTTGAAATATTCTTATAATTACTGAAAATAAAGTATACGTTAATATTTAAAAATACCAAATGTAAATTGAGAGATAGTTTGTGAATATTTTAGTTCATAAAATCCAAAGCTATATAATAAATATATTCACAAAAATACCTGCTCTATACCTAAATATTTTAAATTTGAATATTTATTTAGACATTGTCTAATTATATTTTCTATTAATATTTTTGAATATGTATGATGACTAGGAAAAGGCGCGTATTTTGTATTTATATATTTAAAATGAAGTTGTAAATTAGAATATATATGTGGTTTAAAACTTATACTACAAATAAATTACGACTAATAAACTAATAAATTCGCATGCGCATTTATTTTACTGGAATATATACATGTTAGAGGGATTATATTATATATTTAGTATATTATAAATGTATATTAATCGACCAATATCCGAATATAGCTATTAATATATGTGTAAAAATATCCTTCAGAGTTTTAAATAATTTTTATAACTTTGGAAATGTACCTGTCTTCAAGACTAACAATAATATTGTAAGAGAATATTGTTTCAGAATATCTATTTTCAAATAAATATGAATATATTTATATATGACTTGAAAAAAATATATATATAAAACCTATTGTGAAATTATATTATATTCATGAATACTAAAATTCAATAGATTCCAAATAAATAATATAGATAAAATTATATTATATGAGAATTTTCTCAATATTCAAATGTATATAATCTGGGTTGAGGTCTATTTGTTAGTAAAACACAATTTTCATGAGATAGGCAGACCTATTGGAATATTAATTACAGATTTAACCAGTTTATTCTTATTTATGTTCAAATTTATGTAGAAAACAAATATTAATAATTAAAATTTTATTCATAGTATAATAAAACACATATTTTGTATCAAATATATAGTTTTCCTAAATTAATCACTTTTATGTAAATTATGTAATATTGGTTTCCAAATATTTTAATATTATTTGTCTAAATATCCATGATATTTATACTGTATTCTATAATATTATATATAAATATATTTAAAAATGCCTATTTTGGATCATAAAGTTTTTATTTCCGATATTTCGTGAGGCAACCTCACGAAATATCGGAAATAAAAACTTTATGATCCAAAATAGGCATTTTTAAATATTGTAATATATGGATTGCTCTATTTTCAAGCATATAAATATATATATTAAAAAATATTAATATATGAATAAATGTCCCAAAAGAGGCGCTTCTTTCTTTAATGATACATCAGAACGAAACATTTGTTCATTTCCCTAATATAAATCTTTATTAGCGATGATAAAAAATGATAAACAACACCAGTTTGGGCAATTTGAGACAAAATATCAACCTGTAATTTGTTGTGGTTGTCTGAATCTTTCAGATCCGGTGTTATGTATCATCCTTTATCATCACTAGTAAATATTTCTATACGGGAGATGAACAAGCGCATCGTAATAGATGCATAATAAAAGTAGGTGTCTTTTTTTGGTACATGAATATAATCCTCTCGTAACTTCATGCTAAATAAATAAATATATTAAATAAAATATTATATTGTGTCTGTGTGTGTGAGAGTGAGACAGAGAATATGTTCAACAATTTAGAAATGAAAAAGGCTTTTTATATCAATTTTATTTAGCATTATGAATATTTTAAAATTATAAATATATTATAGCACAGTAAGGGACATTAAATGAGTATTTTATAATAAGGGATCAAATAGGATTTGAGTTATCTCAAACATATTTCAATAACAAGAGGTAGTATGGAGAATTGCTATGAAAATTAACAACCATATTTTCATTTTAATCGACAAATCTTTATTAAATTCTAAAATATCGCATTATATATAATAATTCACAATTTAAGAAATATTTTTGAGAATTTATATAACATTTCGTGCATTTAAATATATATATTTATTAAAATATAGATTGTGAGGAGTTTAAAGTTATCTTGTTTGATGATAAAAAATATGTAGGTTATTTCATTTTTCGCCTTTTAATATTTCTAGGCGGCTCTTCTATAATTATATTAGGAAAAAGTCGTCCAAAGATATCGATTAATAAATTGTTGATTTTATAAGTTTTGCCGAGGAGTAATGTTCAGAACCTCTGCCTTCAGGCCAAGTTGAGCAATTAATCTTTTTTATTGATGTTCCTATTGGAATGTACGGGGTGCCGCGTTTAATAAAGTTATAATTTCAAGACGCCAAGAATTTTCATTAATTCTCTTACACACTTTTTTTTTTCAAATTTATCTATCAGAAATTTTATTA